CCCCCCCCGGCCACGGTCTCTCATCCTCACGTCTGGTTCTTACTAAGCCTTTTTTTCTGCGGGAGGGAAGGGGTGGGTGCCCAGCACACCGCTGGGGTCCCATCCTGACCCCTCCGGCCGTGAGGATGCCCTGAAGCATGAGATTTGATTACTCCATTTAGCTCCCGCGCTGCTTTGGGCTCCCTTCTGCCTATGAAAAACAAAGGTTGTGGGTCCCGGGAGGATCGGAGTCCGTGGGTAGGGCCGTCCCCTGGGGGAGGTTCGCCGTGCCGAGAGGAGCCCCGGCGATCCTCGGTGTCTGCTTTAATTTTAATTCCTATAATCCTGTTATCCCTTTGGCTAAGCACGTTGGGAGGGACTGATGCGCTTGCTGGGGCAAAAAGTGCCGCAGCGGGGGGGGGAAGTCAGTGCCCTCCTCCCTCCGCTTCTCCCCCGAGCTCTGGCTCCATTCTGGGGGGTGCGTGGGGCGGCGCTCATCATGGGTGAGCAGCAACGGGAACCTTTTGCCCTGGTGTGACTGGGAAGGACTGGGTTTGTGCTGGGAATGGGCAGGGGAAGGTCCGTAGAATACCCGGCTGCCGCTCGGTCCAGGCTGGAGAGCGGCGATTAATGAAAACTGAGAAGATTAAAACAGCATGCCCTGAGCTCCGTGGTCCTCCTCCTGCCTGCGCAGCCCTGCCTGCCTTTGCCACCAGTTTTTCTAATTAATTTGTTCCCGGTGTGCGTGGAGAACCACCAGGCCGGGGCACGCTGTTGCACGCCGGTGGGGTGGAAGACTCTCCGCCGCGGGCTGTGCTCGCTCCATCCTCTACGTGCCCTCACCGGTATCTCTGCCCGTGGTCCGCTCCCTTCTCCGGTTTTGTTTCTGGAGTGAAATATTGGGGGGCTGAGCCCCGGCAGGGCACTGGTGATGTGCTGGGGTGTTGTGGCATCCCCAGATGGGGATCTCGCAGGGCTCTCACCGGTGCTGAGCACCTCTGGCTCGGGGAGCAGGACCGTGCCGGCCACCGTGTTTCCTCCAGTGACCCACCGGCCACCCGGGATGGGGTTGGGGCCGCTCGCTCTGTGCCGTCTGCCGGCAACCAAAGCCGGGGTGGGTTGGGGTACGTGCCAGAGCGTGGGCAGCGTCACGGCAGTGCCCGGCTCCGGGGCTCGTGCTGCCTGTTGGCACGGTGTTCACCTCATCCTCTCTCCCTCCCTCCCTCCCCAGGTGATGCAGGTGCTGAACGCGGACGCCATCGTGGTGAAGCTGAACTCCGGGGACCACAAAACCATTCACCTGTCCAGCATCCGACCCCCCCGGCTGGAGGGGGACAGCACGCAGGTGACCGTGGGGACGTGTGGCGGGGAGGTGACCCTGGGGTGGGACGGGGAGGATGCTCTGCTCTGCTCCCCACCGCTGCGGCATCTCTGCCGGGCAGCAATCGCCGGCGTCCGTGACCGTCCCTGGATGGAGTCTCCTCCCCGTTGGGGCTTCTCTTCTATCCGGCCCGACCCCCCTCAGCCAAATACCCCCTTTTTCTTCCTGGGGGAGACCCATCGGATGGGTTGCGGGAGGTCTTGGCGAGGGTTTGACTGCGCACTCTGATGGCTGCAGGGACACCGACGCCTCCCTCGTCCCCTGCCTCAGTTTCCCCCCCAGTATCACGGGTGCCGTTGCGGTTCTGTGCTCCGGGGAGGTGGGAGATCCCCACTTCCAGGGTGTGGGGCTGGGGGACATGCTGGCGGATGTGTGACCCGTCCCTGTGGACTCATGCCCCTCGGTGGCACACGGGCAGCGGGGTCTGGCTGCGCGGCACCCTTGCCTCCTTTGCCAGCTCTGCCCTCCCCTTCCCCTGCGGCCCATCGCTGCGGGGACAAGCAGGGGGCTGCGGGGCTGCTGGAGGTGATGCAAAGCATCCAAAACCCCTTTGGTTTTCTGTTTCCTCCCCGCTGTGCCGCTCAGCGAGATGCTCGGCCGTGCCGCGCCGCGCCGGGCATCTCGGCCCTCCGCCATGGGGCTGGCTGGGGTCGGGCAGCGCTTCCCTCCTTCCTCCTCCGGCTCGAAGGGATGCCGGTGTCTGACTCACGGAGACCTGCAGCGTCGGGATCTGCTGCAGAAATCCCGGGGACCGAAGCCTTTGGAGAACGCCGCACTGTTCGTGCGCGGTTTGGTGTCTCCGCTGTGTTGCGTTTGAGCATCTCGCCAGCCGGCGTGCCCCGGACCTCGCGCCCCCGCGCTCGGTGGTGGCGTGAAAGCGCCC